ATACATACATACCAATTTTCTGGAATTGGGTCAATTTCTGTTTGTTATAATAATGAATGACTTTGACTTCCAAGAGTGTTGCGTTTGAGAATAAATAATATGCTCACATCATCTGTGAGGTCATTCTTCAAGTAGTCCATATCTACTTTGGTAGCTTGATCATTCTGTGTTACATCCACCTTTGCCCTCGCCTTCCTTGTAATTTCTGAAGGCACCATGTTTCTTCCCATTTGGGATCTTTGTTCATAGTTTTCCCTCTTCTGGATTATTTGTCTGTCTGTGTATCTATCCATCTATCTGTCATCTTTTTTTGTGGTACTGTGGGTTGAACCCAGGGCCTTGCCCATCCTAGACAAGCACTTTCCCTCTCAGCTGTATTCTAAGCCCAAGAATGTTGTTTACATCTTTCTTCCTTTTTATCTAACTTTTATTCATCCTTCAGCCCCCCAGTAGAGAAAGGGTGGCCCCACTTCAAATAGAAAACTCTATGAAAGTAGGAGCTTGTGCCTATTTAGATAGCTGCTATACTCATATGATGAAAATGGTCCCTGGGAAATAGTAGGTACTGAATAATATTGGCTGAATAGTGCATGTTGACTCAAGCATAGCTTTGTTATTGAAGTCTTTCCTTGTTATCATTACCTTGGAATTTGTTTGTTCTCTTATTGAAATGTTATAAATCCATGTACTATCTTTTTGAGAATTTATTTCAGTTTATCATCAAGCAACCATCTATTTACTTACTTTGATGAAATCAGGAGTCATTTCCATTTTATCGATTTCTGTGTCTATATCACATACTACACTTCTCTAAAAATATATTGAATAAATAAACACCATGACAATCATATATATTAGACATTTTAGCAATCTTAAGAGACATTAGAATTGTTCTTATTCTTTACAAACTTATATCTGAAGGGAGAAACAAAAATGTGCAAATAGATAGCAGTAAAAAATGGTAGACTGACTTGTAGAATTTTAGAGCAAAGAATTTTAGAAACATTATAGATAAACCCAAACTTATTATAGCAGCATTAAATGACTATCACATAATGGCAGTGACAGTCATGAGGCATCTGAATGACAAGAATGGGTAGACCTTCAGAGGTTGAAAAATACTGTGTGTCTCTAAGTGTAGGGGAAAGAACATGGAAATAATGAATTTGAATTGTTTTGGAGAATTTATTTTCTAACAACTATTATGTATTTATGATACAGTAATAAGAATAAGACCAGTGTCCTTGCTCATTCAGATTAAGGGTGGCCAAACAACACCTTTGAACCTAACCTGACCTGTGTTTTTGTAAACAGATATGGCAACATGGCCATACCATTGGCTTACATCTTGTCTATGGCTGACTGTGTTCATAATACAAATGCAGAGCTGAGTGAGTGCAGTGGGGATCATATGGCCCATAAAGTCAAAAATATTTACTATATGGTCTTCTATAAAGGATGTGCCAACCCAAAAGTTAAATGGGTTGAATGGGAAAGACAGTGACAAAACTCTAAAAATATTATGAGATGTGATTTTAGAAGACATATTCCAAACGTTCATGGAGAAGGAATAGATGAATTGTAGTCAACCCTCTGTGGTGGTGGGTTTCATGTCTGTGAATTCAGTCAACTGAGGATGGAAAATACTTGAGGCAATATTGCATCTGTATTAAATAAACACTAACTTTTTTCTCTTTTAATCCTTAAAAAGTGTAGCAGAGCTATTTATATAGCATTCAATTATATTAGGCATTAAAAGTAATACAGAGATTTTTTTTTTTTGTACATGAGAGGATGTGGACAGATTTTTTACAAATACCACATCATTTTATATAGGGAATTTAAACACATGCAAGGTTTTGGGTCTGTGAGGAGTCTTGGCGCCAATCCCCAGTGATCACCGAGGGATGGGTATACTTAACGACACAAGGAACAGGACCTGGATAAAGGATGGGACTGGTGCCTTTAAAGGTCCAAAGTTCAGAAGGAATTTAATTATGAAGAAGGAAAAAGGGAGTACACTACCAGTTATGGTGAGACTGTAGGAGCGAAGGCATCTTATTTGTAGGAAATATAAAGAACTTCTAGCCTGGGTTTCCACTGGGAGTTCAAGTTTATCAACTGGAGCCAGGGAGACTATACCGACAGCCTTGAGTACAGGGCTGAAACATTTGAAATTCACCAACTGGGCTTGAGGGACTCTTTGAAGGCTCTTGTTCAGGTCAATGATATGAAAAAAAAAAAGGGAATAGATGGTTAGAGTCTGGGTCCGATGACCTCTCGGACCTGGGAGAGGTTGGAGGACATTGGGGACAGTCTCTTGAAAAGGTTAAAAGAATTGGAGATCTGAGAGAAAATTTAGTCCACAGATAGGTTTTGCTTTACTCATAAGATGTTTGAATATTAAAAAAAAATTAGCTGTTGACAGATAGGGAAAGGATATTTTTGCACAGAATCTGGATTTTTGCTGCTCTTTAAAAATCAGGCTATTCTGGCAACATGTGCCTGTGTTTTCGTGTGGCAACCATGCTTTGGAGCCGAGCTGCCCTGTGTGGAGTTGGCAGAACAAGCCCCACTCTGGTCATCTTTAATCCTGTAACATAACCCCTGTTGCTATTGGACTTTGTAGTCTACTATGCCATCACCTGGACATGAGTTTGAAAGTCTTTAATTGGAGTGGAGCCAACACATTCACCTTTCTTTTCCTTTCCTGAACACTTTTTAAAAAAAAATCCACTGACTGTTTGTGAAGCTTTCTGAAGAGTCACCTCCTTTAATTTTAAATGCTGGGGAATTGTATGCTTGAGCATGTGTATGTCTGTCATACACTGTTAATTGGAGTGTGATAGATCTTGTAGGCGAACATCTGTCCTGAGGTCATGATCTCCAATTTAATTCCATTGTGGCGTATCTTTCCCTTTTATCCCTCATTAATTGCAGACCACATTTTACCTGCAAACCTAACATTCTGACCCCCTCCACCCAGTTTCCTAATGTTGTAGTTTCTATCTAGTCTCTTGCTTATATAATCACAACAGCTTTTGTTCGTGTTTTTCAGTAGTTTTATTTTTAATTTCACTTGAAACAAAAACTGCTTCTTTCAAGAAAGTCTAAGGGTGGTTTGAGTTGTATTTTTCAAGAGGATTCTTAAAATTCCTTTATACACAATGTTTTTCTCCCTTGGCCTGCCTGTTAAAAATAGAATACCACAAATTTCTGTATAATTCTTGCTGATACGTGATTCAGGGTGGAGGTGAATGCTTTAAAAAGGCAGTCAATCTGTTACCACTCCTGAGGAGCTGGGCGCTCCCTCATGAAGCCTGCTTGGGACACTGGGCTCATTGTGACTGCACAGTGGAGCCTGCTGAGCAAGCGTTACAGATCCATGTCGATGTACAAAGCCTGGTTGTGATCAGGTTACTTATGTTTCATGTTTCGAGATAAATGATGTGGCCTTTGAAGAACAGTTAGACCAGAATCATGTGTCAAAAGCAGGTTTGAGCAGAACTGGGACTCTGCCAAAAGACTTAATAACTACTTCTTAGTGTTTTCTTAAAAATACATATTACAGAATTTCTGAGCTAGTGAGTACCAGAAATTTAGGGGAAGTCTTATGCTAATTGGAAAAGGCCAACCACAAACCAGTTTCATGACCTTAACTTTTTCCTGCCTTGTCTGGTAAGTGAAGAAGCTAAAATAGATGATGCCAAGGGGTGTTTGTGCCAATCTGTGAATGTGAAGATGGACCCAGAAGCTAAGCTTGTCTCTAGGGAATCCAGGTTTTCATCTAGGCCTGAGCCAAGATTGCCTGGATGAAGATGCAGCTGAAAGCCCAAATTTTCCCCTAGATACGGGTTGAGATGGGGCAAAACTGAGCAGTTATACTGATAGCCTATGTGAAAAAGTACGGAAAAAATATTAGATGTTAGAGAGATCAAGGCTGATTTTTGAGTTCTTCAGATTTGTGATCATTTATTCAGCCCCTCTGCCTTTTTGTTTTCTCTCCTGTTACTCAAGGTGGATGCTTCTTGTATTAGTCAGGTTGGACTGCTGTACTAAATACCACAGCCTGAGTGACTTATACAACAAAAATTATTTTCTCACTGTTCAGGTGGCTGGAAGTCCAAGGTAGAGCTCTAGGAGTGCGGTTGTCAATGCTACCGAAAATATAGCCAGATCATCAGCTCATCTTAGGCTTACTACCAGATTTGTAGACAACATCTATGTTGTTGTGCCTCAGTAGAAATAATAGAGTCATTATATAAATGGGTAATAGTTGGAAAATACCATAAAGGCAGTTAAGCAGTAAGAATATATTCATGAAAAGAAGGGCATAAAGAGAAGACCACTAGATTGCCAGAAATGACTTCAAGCTATATAAAGATAACCAGACACTGCCAGCATATTCTCTTATTTTAACTGAAATGAGCCCCTAACGAATAAAAAAAATTTCTCTGCAATGTGTTGACACTGGCTCAAACATTAGTGATATTTTTCTTTGCTTCTAAATAACTTTTGGAAATCTTTTGAATATAATTTTAGGTTTCTGTGGACATAAAGGCATATTTAAAAGCCTCAGAAGTATAATAATCAGTCCAAAAGGAGAAATGATTAAGAAAAACATGTCAAGGGTGTCAATATTAATGATTTAAAAATATTATATACATCTACAATAATGGGGCTGGATAAAGAGATCTAGGCACAATTTGACTCTGCAAGAAAATTGCATGATTAGGCAGGATCCTGGGGGTAGCTGAGCAGGTGTTAGAATAATTACAACTATTCACATGTGGAGATGCTGTTTCTGAGATAACCCAGAAATTCCAACCTTTACAGTGAGTTTATTTGTACCAAATAACATGCAAGGCACTGAGTAAAATGAGTACATAATTTGAAAATAAAATAACCACCTGCATTAAAATATAAATATTTTCTTCATTAGTATGACCTTCCTGAATTTAACTTGTACAATTTTTTTTCTCTTGAAAAAATGGGACCAGTACTTGGCTACTGAAGCTCCAGATGCTAGAGTTGGCTTTGGAAATGAACCCTGAGGTTTCTGGGCTTACTATCAAGACAGAAGCTAGTGCACTGGCTAAAGAGAAGTGGAAGGAGTTCTGAAGTTTGAGCCGCAGAGGGAAACAGCAACGCAAAATCCCAGAAGCAATTCCCAAGGCATGTTCTTTGGAGGAACCAGGAGCCAAAACAGTTGGTGGTGAGCAGACACAGTGGGAAGGTACGCTCAAGGCACAGAAAGGGAGTGTGCCGAGCAATATCAATACCTTTGTCTACGGTCAGAGATGATCTGTCAGTAGTACATGTCTCCATTATTAAGAATTAAGAGAAACAAGCACCATTTCTCAGAAACTGATCTTTGGATTCTGAGCTCTGTATGAGTGATTTCTCTCACTGCTTTACTTTTCATGTTATGTATTTTCATTCTGTGTACTCATAGGCTAATCTATTCAAAACCTGTTTGTAAGTCATTATGTGAGACTTGGGAACTGTGCTCAAATAAACAAATTCTTTGTCTATCCATCAGGCATTTATAGTCAAGGGGAAAGACAGACATGAACATAATGAGTGTATAATGTTCCTGCCCATAGCTGAAGCCTGCCTTGCACTATGCCGCCACTGTTAACTTCACTCTGTGGAATTCCTCATAGCCTCACAATACATGGGACCATAATGACATGTCTAGTGTCTCCACTTAGTTTGAAGCCCCACCCAGAAATACTCTTAGCTTTCTTCTTGTCTTCAGACACTCATATTTAAAGCTCACCTCAGGTATAACCTAGGGAAAGCCTTCCCTGGCATTCCAGTTTGATGCTATGGTCCTAAATAGCATGCTGTATTATTATAATGCCTCTCATTACAATGATCTGATAAACTGCCTACCTTGTAAAAGTGGGAATAGAAATCTCCCTGAGCAGAGAACCCAGTCCTCTGGTCTTTTATATGTACATGAGTGTGTTTGCTTGTTTATTTATCTGCGTATTTTCCTGAGGGGTGTCCTAAGTACTAAGAAGAAACAAGCATTTACCTGGTGTATAACATTACTGGAAAATTATGAGTTTAAAGAGTTTTCCTACCACACCGAGTTTGGTGAAAGGAGAAATAAATATGGGGTGCATATTTAAGTTGAGTATGCTGAAAGATGCCATTAGTGATGCATGACAAAGGGGGCTGGCAGAAATTGCTAGAAATTTGGTTCTAATCAAGCATATCCTGCTTGTCTCTTGTAATTTCAGTGAACAAGACAAGGGCTGAGGAAAAGGATATTGAAAACATTGGATTCATTTTATGATGTTATGATATAAAGCAATGTGATATAACATCAAAATACTATCCAATAAAATGCCAATATTTTAATGTCATGAGATAGGTCCCTAGGAAAGAATTAGTACTTTTACTGCTTAATCAATATTTTTTTTTCACTGTTACCTCTGAAAATTTCTGACATGGAATTGGTTAGTTTTCCTTAACTTTGAATTCATCAATAAAACTGTTTTCTTTTTACCCTAAACTTCAAGTTAAGAATATTTTATAATTTGTGGTGTATTTTATTTCATTTCAGATGACTTTCTCCCAAATTATATTCTCCTAATTTTTAGCTTCTGTATAGAAGCTTGTGTAAAGTCTAACACCTATTAAAGTATATCAGTTTATAACATTTATATTAGTATATTAAGAAATGCTTATTTTTAATATTAGCTCTCAAACTTATAGAAAATGCATATCAAGTTTTAACCTAAATTGTTAATATATTCATGCACCTTTTACTCTCTAAATTCTTCATATTTATAGAGTATTTCTCAAGTATTTTGTAGAATTCATTAAAATTATTCACCATAAATGTGTTTTTATTTGTAACATCTTTGGCATATAAGGCATATTAGGATAATATTTTAGGAAACCTATGATAAAAGAAAAAAGGCTTATATTCTTATTTAAAAGTTAATTAAATATTCTTTAGAGAATATAGCATTGGAAGCTGTTTCCATCAAGCAGGGAAAATACTATATTTTGGATTAAGACAATTTAATTGCTATAATGAAAATTTTTTCTTAATTCTCATCCTAGGGACCAAAAGTCATTTATTGCTCAGTAAACGCAATCTAGGTTTAAAAAAATGTGATTCACAATGAAATTCCACATAGTAGTATTTATTTTTTTAACTTTAAAAATAGTCTCTTTCTCATTAGTTACAAGAATAGGAAGCTTCTTACAAAGTCCCTAGTGCCACCCTTTACTCCTGTAATTTTATAATCATTGTGCAAATTGGTGATCATAAGTATGCACTTCTTTGTCCAGCTTATTCTTGGCTCTAAGTCCATTAAAAAGATATTTTTTTCCATGGGTAGAGAGTTTGTGGAGTGAATCTATGTTTAGGGGTTAGAGTGAGGTATGTTTAAACTTTGAAGTCACTCTGGTAGCCATCAATTAAGGAGCTTCTGCAACACCATGAGGCTCAACTTCTGTGTAAGTCAGGATAGCATCACTGTCAGTCTGAAGGAATGATCTCAAGGAGGGCATCCTCAGCATGGTGCTTGATTTAGAAGATGTTCCAGAAATTGACAGTTCTCTTTTATGGCAGAGAGCACCATTCACGCATATATTGTAAATAATGGCCACTAAATTCATGGCAATGTGACTGCATAGGAAAGAAAGATAACCATGGGGGGGGGAACCTTAGAGAAATCAGACTGCTAGTTACTGATAACATAAACTTTTAAAACATAATTAAAACATGTTTTAAAGTGAGTAGATTCAAATCTGCAGAGTCCAGGAATGGTTAGTCCCTCAGCAGAGCAGCGACAGTCCTTGGAGAAATCCCCACTGCTCCAATCAGCTAGAGACAGAACTAGGATTCTGCAGGTAACTTAGAATTTTTAAAAGCCCATTTGGGGTTTCCTTTATCTTTTGCAATTCCTGAGATTTAATATAATCAAGAAGACTTTGCTTTGGGTTGTAGCCCTTGAGACCTTGATCGGGCATATTGCTTTTTATTTGGGCTCCAACTCACGCCAAACACAGGCAATAATGTCTTCACAGCCTTCACTCAGAGTTGCTGAACTCCTAGCGGGGTTTGCAGAACTCATTTATGACATGACTAAGCTGCCGCTGATTTCTGCCACCCAGCACTATCACTCTACAGAGAATATTTCACTCATCTAAAATATGTCCTGTCCACTAATGTCATGTCTGGCTTCTCCAGTTGTGTTTCAGCACCATTCAACAATCAACAGATAAGGTAATATCTCTAAAAGTTCCTGAAAGCATTGTTGCCAGGTGCTCACCACTGAGTTTTACTTTCTTCTTTTCAAGTCCAAAATGCTAAGGGAAGATGAAGCACAGAGGAAGACGGACCAAAAGGACACCCAGACTGATTGGAGATCAAAAGGTATGAGGGCTCAGATGCCCTTTGCAGGTCCCTGCATAGCCATGGTCTGTGAGAGGAGAGGTCATTCAAGATGAATGGTGTCTTATATTTGAACTAACATTTTAATTAGAATCATAATTTCACTAGTTACAAAAGCAAGCAAGCAAACACACAAAAATAAAGAGTCCTAGACAGTTAGTCAGGACCCTTAATCTCCATTCTTAAATTTATTTCCTAATAGACTCAAGTTAAATCACAATTGTAGGCAGCTGAGAAGTCTACACCAGAATTCCAATCTCTTTCGATTGTTACTGTTATTATTATTATTTTGAGCTACTAGTTTGCTTATCACTTGCTGTGCATTATGTTAAATACTTTATGTACATAAAAACATTTAATTTGTCTTAAACATTTCTCCAAAGAAGATCTACAAATGGTCAACAAACATATAAAAAGATGTTTAGCCTTATCAGTTAAGAAATTGCATGTGAAGATCTCGGTGAGAAAAATCACTAGCATGATTATAAGACATGAGGGAAAGTGTTGGCATAGATGTGGAGAAATTGGAACCTTGGTGCATTGCTGGTGGGAATATAAAATGCTACAAGCTGCTGTGAAAACTATAGCCATTACTCAAAAATTAAACATAGACTTATCATGTGATCCAACAGTCCAGCTTCTAGGTATGTGATCTCAAAATTGAAAACAGATACTCAAACAAATACATGCATTAAAATGTTCATAGTGGTACTATTAACAGTAGCCCAACCTATATGTTGGAATCTAGTCTTATCAAACAAAGCTGATGCAGTGAATTAGCCAGGAAGAAAAATGGCTTTACATCCATCAGAAAAAAAGCTAAGAGGAACCCTGCTTCCCTCTCCTCTCAGCCACAGAATTTTCCTGTTGAATTTTGTTTCAGTGTGACATGGGCTATGTGACAAAACCCAGGGAAGGAAATTGGAGGAAAATTCCTGAACAAACAAGTATGAGGAGTTGAGTTTAGCTTTCTTTACTTTCCCTGATTTGGAAATATGTATCTCAAAAAACATGCCGTCGAGAGTTCTGTTTTTGTTTTTTCTGCAGTGACCGCTAGATTAATTATGCAGAGGAAGCCTTCAGCGATAGAGTTTTGTGCGAGTTAGCTGTATAACCAAATCAACAAAGCACCATTTTCTTTTTCAAACATTTCTATTCTGTACCTACTTTTATAGCCTGTGTCAAACTACTTTGTCTCACATTTAATTGGCCATGACCACGTTAACCTCCTTTTTTGTGGTCATAAGTACTAGGTTTTCTAAGCATCTCTCCATACAAAACTTTTGAATGGGTTTCCAGTGAAGTCAATGAAGGCAAATGTCTTTGTCTAGCTTTCAAGGTCATCCACAACGGTGTAGATTCATGTTCCATGACTGTTTTAGGTGAAGTTAAAATGGATTTTTAAAATCTTTTTGACAAATAATAATGTAATGTTAACTACTGTTTTACTTGTTTTATTTAGATTTCACAGTATTCAGCAAGGAAAGTATCATAGAAATGAAACTAAGGATGGAGAGGTTAAATAAAAACATGTAGCTGGGAAGGTCAGGGGCAGAATTTGAACTCAGGTCTCTGTGGTGTTCAAAGCAATGTTTTAGCTACTTGAGCTAGATGTTGCTCTTCACTTTCCCTATATGTTGTTGGTTCCTACCTGCCATACTTAATGCCAACTCCAAGCATGGTTTCTTCTGCTCTCTCCTGCTCTCTTTGATATTCTTGACCCTCTGAGCTGGAAGGGTCTTCTCTTCAATCAAATTCCCATAAAAGAACAAACGTTTTCTATCTATTGCTGGCATTTATCTTTGTGTAGTTACTACTAATGCTACTAATTCAGTGACAGCACTAAAAAGGTTTTGTAAGTATCTCTATTGCAGTGTCTCTATTGCTGTATCTCTGACCTTGTCTTGCACAGTGTCTTGCTCACAATAGGTGTTCAATAATTATTTGTTCAGTGATTCTTATAGATTATCTGCCAGGGAAATGACATTGTTATATGGATGTGTTCGTTAAAGTTGTTTATAAGAATGGATTTTTTTCTGTTTGATCTTTTACTAAGTGTAATATTTGATATCTTGGGAATATTAATATAAATAGGTTAAATATTAAGACGATATTCCTCTTTTAAAGTATCACTAAAGTGCTTAAAATCTTAAGTGCTAAAACTTATTTTTGCCCAAGTGTTTACTTGAACCAACATTAAAACTAAAGACAAAAGAAATTACTGTATGTAAATCTGTTACTTGAAACCTCTTATTCTCATGAGTTTCATGATAGGCCCATATAGAGAAATTAATTTATAGAAGTAGTCAGCATAACTGCTAAAAAATGCAAGCATAAACTACTATGCACTTTTTCCTTTATGTGACTTCTGCATATTTCAATATTCAGTTCATCACCTTTAAGGTTTTAGATTCACCAGCTGTAGAATACCTATCAGATTCTAGCGCAGCACTAAAAGTGAGGTTATTGAAAATAAATGCATCAGCACATTCTTGCTGAATTGTTTTCTCATGTGACTCATACTACTTAACTAACTTTTTCTTTCTGATTGTTCATTTATCATATCAAAGTTGCTTTGGACATCTGCATCTTTAAGTACAAAAGCACAGTCTGGTTGAAAAAGAGCTCTTGGAGACAAACACTCTGATTTGAAGTCATAATGCAAGATGATACCAGGTCCAGTCACTATGGATTTAGTTCAAGTCCTTTCGTCATTTTTGAAAACATAAAGCCATCAAATTTTCAATATTAGTATAGGCTGTTTACCAAAAAGTATTTCATTTATAGTGCTCATGAAACTATGCTTCACAAAGTCCTTCTACTTTGTTTAGATCAGAGGATATTCTTGGTAGAGCTCATCTCAAAATCACTTGGAGTCCAAAGTGTCTATGCAAAACCATTAATCTCAGAATGTGTCTAAACACTAACCTTGGGACAGGCTGCAATTTATTGTTCTCTGTGACAGACAAATAGCTAGAAAAATTCTGTCACTTAACCCCAATGCTTTCTTTGGTAGTGGTGGAAAGAAAAGGTTTTTTTCATACTTTCTTCTCAAAAAAATGACTACAAAAATCAGTCAATATGGTATAAATCAAAATATAAAAATAATGCTATGCCTAGGAACTTTTAGCCATCGTATTAAAAATGAACAAGATAGTCTTTAAATCAATATACTTTCCAAAGAATCAGTATGCAGATGCTTTGATTATTTTTATAGATCAAATAAACAATCTACATACTTTTATTCTATTTTGACAAGGATATTATTGGCTATGTCTTTATTCTGTCTACATAAATACCAAATAATAAAGGAGTCTCATTTAAAAACGTGGGGCTTGTTCTCTTTGTAAATGTTTAAATACCCTCCTATCAGATTGAATTTAGGCATCTGATTGTGTCATGTGTTTCACAAAGTGCAAGACACATATAGACAAGTTAGCCTGAAAGTCTAGCCTATACTACGAGATGCAAGCAAACACATACTGATATCAAAGTGGATTCACAAGATAATCATGAAATGTTTATGAAAGAATATGTATAGATTTCTAAAAAGTTTCAATAGAAAACATATGTATACACAATTTAGTTGTCTTTTTGAACAGTTTTTTTCTCTTTTTCTTGTGGTTAAAGGAAGAAATACAAAGTAGAAAAATGAGCAGCTAGACAGAGTGGATACCACCTGACCTGGGGCGTTACCTGTGCTGACCTGCTGGTTTTGCATTTGCTGCTGAAATGTATTTCCATAGGTCATTATTTTTCACTGGGAACCCACTTTCCCACCAATTGTAGATGAAAATCTGTATAAGAAATTAAGGGTGGCTGATAAATGGCTAAAAATGAGCTACAACACCATCTCAGATCCCTTTCATGCCTTTCTTGAAAGGGTCCTGAGCACAACTCAGAAACACCTAAATGTAGGCATTTCATAGAAAATGACAATCTAGTGAATCAGCCTGTGCAACTTGATCTAGTGAGTTTCACCTCATGGACCATATCTAAAGTAATAGTGTCCTTTTAAAATCTTTTAACAGTTCAAATATTTTTATAAATGTAAGACAAAGTTTAAAGTAATGAATATATTAATATCTACAGTTATTTTTATTGTTCATGAAAATCAAAGGGATCATAAACTAGAGGCATACAGATTAAAATTGTATCAGAGCATTAAGATTCCTTTTTATTGCTTATGAAAGGACACGATTTTCAGTTTTCATTTTCACCTCTTGCTGATGCTACATAGACAGTGTTTAAGTTAAAATATTTTTTTATAGTAAAAAACCACAATGCCATTAATTGCCCTCAACTGTCTTCTCTGCTTTGAATATTTATGAATTCCTGCCACTTTCTGAAGCAGTTCTGGAGTCTTCTTTCAAGTGTCTCTATGAGATGTGATAAAAAATATAGTGAATGCTGCTGCTGACTGCTATCCGAAGGAATGGCAGGATGGTTAAAGCCCTCATGGTGCATCCTCGTCTGCTGTATTTACTGGATTTAGCACCATGCAACTTTGGGCTTTTCCTCAAAGTAAAAATGACTAGGAAATGTAAGCACTTTGAATTTAATCAGGATATTGAAGCAACAAAGATAACACACACACACACACAAAAAAAAAGACTTACCAAAGAGGACTTGCAGAACTCCTTCAGAAAGTAGAAAAAAATCATAGGATAAATGTTCCAGATGAGAGGGAGGGTTTTGAGGGGAATTAATGGAAATGCATCTTTTACTGTAATAAATTTTAAAAAATTTAAATATCCACTGTAGGTTTTGATCATACCTCATGCATATCCCAACTTGCTCAGGTCATTATGTCCTTTCCTTGCCTCTCCCCAAATATCTGCAGCTGCTCCTGAGTGCTATTTCTGAACTCTTTCCATTCAGTTACCTTTCTGAGAAAAAAGGCTGGAAGCTATGATTTTTTTCCTTAAAATTTTTATCTTTTTCAAAATAGTAAAGCCTATGTAAAATTTCTTTTATCAGCT